AGTGGCTATTTTCTTCTTGAGACAACAAATAGCTATGATATGATAAAGATTTTAGCTCTAATCATCACCACCTCCGAGTTCTTGAAATACATGAGCTTCGGATCTTAACACAGGCAGAAATTACGTATACTTCAATGCCAAGTTTCTCAGCTTCAAAGCACACAGCTCTCACTAACGTGTGTGCAGTTCAGCGGGGGGAATGAGGGAGGGCTCTGCCTTTAAGGCAGCTGCTGTGTCCTGCTCATACATCAGTCAGTGCAGCTGCTGAGTTAATCCACAAGTAGAGAGAAGTTTCTCTGGAAACTCCAATTCTCTGCACAGCTCCCACTGAATGGTTTGGATAAACTTTTCCACACAAGGCAAGTAAGCTGCATCAGGACAGAAGAGAATGGAACCTGGGGAGGGTTTTCATCACTGCTATTTCTACTTCTATAAAAATTTAACTGACACTTGTATTTCCAGTGAAATTCTCAGTTGTCCAAAAGGGATGGGAAGGTCTGTTGACAGTGCCTGTGTTCACACTCAGAGCATTGAAGAGTTAGTTCTGGGAGAGAAAAGATCTCAGATAGCAGCAGTTTGACAAGGAAATGTTCACCAGGAGACAGATCCAAGACATGATGTCACATGGACTGCTTTCTAACAGCTGCCAACTTGTTTCATAGCCTACACTTTCCACCTGATTCTGGCCTTGTGTTCTGATGTTGACTTGCACATAGCATCATTTTTTCAAAAATAAACTTTAAAGTTGGCACATGAAGTAGGTCAAATATTGCTTCTACCAAGCTCTATTCACTGATTGAGCATACAGTTAGCATAGCCTAGAAAGATGGTAAGTCAGAAGGTGATCCTGCACCTAATGACCAGATCAAATAAGGGGTCTTTGCCTCTGAGGGGCACAGAGGTGACAGGTTCAAAGTACCATCTGCAGAAGGATGAATAGGAATCAGAACACAGCATAAGATTTCAGTTCTTGTTTGTTTGTTTGTTTTGACAAAGAGAATGACAGAGAAGAAGAGACAGATACAGAGATCTTTCATGCACTAGTTCACTATACAAATGACCACAACAGCTGGGGCTGGGCCAGGGTAATGCAAGGTGCCAGAACTCCACCCAGAATTCCCACATAAATAGCAGGGAACCAAACACCTGGGTCACCATCCACTGCTTTCCCAGGAGCATTAGCAAGGAGTTGGGTTGGAAGTGGAGCAGTTGGACTTGAACCAATGCTCTGATATGGGGTACTAGAGTTGTAAGAGGCAACTTGATACTATAAAGATAATTTTTTTATAAAGATAAACATTAACCTTGTTGAGGAATTATTTTTTCTTAGAGAATGAAAATGAGAAAAGCAACAATGTTTCTCTGATCTCATAAAGATTAAAAGTCCCATCTATCACTGTTAGAGAGGAATGATGTTTATTTTTTTTTTATTGGAAATTAGAGGCAGAGAAACAAAGATAGAAAAACGAATTAAGGGCTCCCCAGTCATGATTCATTTCGCAACTGATTGCAGTGGTCAGGGCTGAGTCCAGGTGAGGGCCAGCAGCTGCAACGCAACTGTTGAGCATCACAAATCACAAGCAGCAAAACCAAGGGCAGGCTTCCCTGTGTGAATGGATGCAAGGAAAGCATGTGGAATTAGAGCATATACCTCCCTAAACATATTCAGTTCAACCTCAGGGTGTTACAGATAAACCTGTGAACCCAAGACACTCCTGAGGCTCTAAGGCAACACCAGTCCTGACCTGGGGCCACCTAGTCAGGAGTGGCTCCCTCCCCAGAATCAAGGGCTCTTGTAGTACATCCCAAACATTCAAGGTAAGGCAATAAAGCATGAATTCCAACAAGTCAGTCTTACGTGGGATAAATGTTAATCTGGTAGCTGGATTCTGAGGTGGTGATGGTAAACAAACCCTGCAAAAAAAATTCAGAGGCCAGGAATTTGCTACAATGAAGAGGTTTCTATTGTCAGAACCAACATATCTCAAGAACCAAAGAATGGTATCCTGTTATCATCCGGGTTCCTTCTCTTTATGAGAGGCCTCTTTTTAAAGGTGTTCTGCAATTCTGAATGTCAATCCACCATGCCCTATCCCATCCCACCTGCCTCCCCTAATCTTACCAGACACACATAGGGATATGAGCATACAGGGCAGGACTCAGAGGATGGCAGCCATGAAGCGTGGCATTCCCCCTGCGGCCTCAGAGAAGCATTACAAGGACACATGTTGACAAAAACCCAAACTCGAATTCTCAGAATTGTAAACAGAACTCTTCAGACAATTATTCAGATCCACAGTTATGGTCCTGGTACTAATCAAGTACAGTGTCTCCTTTCTCTCTATGTACCCTCCTAAGTCTACTACCAACACTTTCCCTGACCCAACTTGTTGATTGCCAGTAACGTCAAGCCAATAACGTTAGGAGGAATTATGGAGCTAAACAGACCAAATACTTTAGAGTGCACAAATTTCCACCTGACTATTAGGCTTTGGAAGTACAGCTTGCCCACACAAAGTTACAGACATGGCAGAGACCCATAAAGAGCCCATCATTTTTGTTGAGCAGATGGTTAATGAGGCAGAAAGGAAGTCTATGATGGAGCTTCCAGAAAAGGCAGTGTTGACCCAGGAAAAATCATTGAGATAGAACTAGCTGAGACCTTTCAACACCAGGAACTTTGAATTGTTTTGAGCTGAAGCACAGAGAGGTTTTAAGTCCAGTGGTTTCATTTGCTTAAAAGTTCATGGAGTTTGGATCTTCAAATATTAATTAAACAGATAGCCCTTAAGAGGCTATTGAAAATATTAGCCCCAAGCAAACCTCTGAACAGTAATCAAATAAAGGTTTGATTATGAGAAAACAAAATAAAAGGACTTTTCATAGTAATAAATAATAAGTTGGCTTTCCTTAGCCTCTCCTTCATTGTGGTTGGTAAGTACACCTTAGTGTTCTGGCTCTCTTTATTCATTCACACCTCACCTGGCTGCAATTCCTCAGATACTACTGTACTCAGATCATCTTTCTCTCAGAAACTTCCTCTCCTAGGAGAAATGCTGGGGGATGTTGGGTGAGTATTCAAAGAACTGAGCAATCATCTCATCTACATGCCCAGCCATGCAGACACTGCTTAGGTTAACATCCCTGACAGGAGTCATCTGACCATCTCTGGGCATCACTGATGTGTGTAGAGAGGCTGCTATGTAATCTGAATTTTCCTGAGTGAATCCTTTGTTATTCCTCTCTACATTAAGGGTAGTGAGGCCTCAAAGCATTATGGATGCCTTTTGAAAATGACTTCCCTTAACAGTCATTCCGGAGGACTCACTACTACCGGATTACTGAATAATTGCTGACGGAGTCCCTGTTCTGAGTCGAAGTTCCCCTCCATGCAGAAATAGAGAAGTGAGCAATCCTCCTTCCCCAGCACCTTAAGACAATTACATCTTAGGGAGCTTGAGGTCATGACATTATCTGAGAACAGGATTCTTTTAAGTAACAAAGCCTCAAGATTGTTGGAGAAATTCACCTCTGGGCCTACAGAAGAGGAGCATTATGGAAGAAACTAAGTGAGATGTTAGTCAAGGGAAAAGAAAATATTTCCTACCCATTAAAGTACAAATCAAGTTCTGAATCTGACTCCAGATGTAGTGAAGTATGAGAAAAGCCAAAAGCACTAAGCAGATTGCTAACTCCTGTGAGAAAACAAGAAGAGAGCTTCACTGATATTATCACAAATAACATTGTTCAACATCATCGCGATGGACTTTTATCTGGGATTACAGCCCAACTACATATTCCTTAAAAGATATTATGCTGCCATTTTCAGAAAACAATTTCTCTTCACTCAACTTTTACCAGATATGTAACAATACCTGTAACCTTTTCAGAAATAATCAAAACCTATTCCTCTTTTTTAAATCTAAAACTATTTCTAAAGGTTTTTCAAACCAAATATGAATTTTTGTCATTATATTTTCTTCTGTAAAACAAATGTCTTGCACAAAAGAATGCGAGTTTTAATTCTCCAAACATATTTCTTTTATTCCCTCATGAAATTAAAGTCCACTTGAGTAGACACAGCTAAGCTAAAAAGTCATTGTTGTGATCTTTATGGGTTTGTTGTTTGTTTCTCATAATTCCCTGATGACTTGAGAGCATGAAAATTAACTAGACAAAGTTTCTTGAACACAGTCTCTTGCCTAGGTAAGACTCATACCCAAGACAACACTGACGAACATTCATGAACACGAAATAGCCAGGAACACTCTTCCTTGTGAAGAACTAGTCAAGGATTTCTGCTAGGGACTCTGTAACATGAGAGCTAAGAAAAGGAATGAACTTCAAGCTTTCATTACAACAACAAAAGATATCAAGAGACACTTTTTAACAAAATCCTAGCAGAGGATACCCTGTGCTTTTATGCTCTCAGGAGCACAAGCTTATGCAGCACAGGTTTAGCTAAGCCAAGACACTCTTTCTGTCTAGCCACAGCCAACATGCTCCCAGAATCGGTGAGTCAAAGCTTATGTTCCAGAGCAGACTTGAGACTAATTCCAACGTGCTCCTAGGGGTTGCTGGGAACAACACAAAAGCAGGTGATTAGTCTTTGGAAACCCAAGGAGAACAGAGGAAAAGCTGAGTGAGGGCAAGTGGCTGTCACAAAGGAGAAGCCTAGGCTCTGGCCGACACAGAAGGCAGAGCAGCTTTCAGGGGCGTGCAGGAAGGGCTGGCTTCCCTAGGAGGCCAGGTGTGAGTGAGCTCTTCACACAAAGGCAGGGTACAGTCAGATTTGGTTTGCGCACTTTGGCTTTCACATAGTATTTCAGAAAAAAGAAACGCCAACATGAATGGGGTGGGAGGTGCATTGTTTCTGTGTTTTTCCATGAAGGTAGGTTCTCTCTACCCCTTTGGAAGCTCTTCTTTCTGGCTGAAGCCTATTGCAGCGGAATCTTAGAGGGTAAAAGGAAGCATTCAAACACAAGAGCACCAACACTAACCTGAGAAGTAGCTGCAGGTGAACTAGTTTCCTTACCACTCACTGCTGCCCTCTCATTGGCTGCAGCTTCTGCCACTTCTGCCTTCTGCACATTTGAATCCTCAGAACTTGAGACCCCCATTTGTCCCAGACCTTCGCTCCCTTGCGTGTAAGGTGGATTGGTGACAGCTTTCCGGGTTTGACCTTTATACCAACTAGGGTACAACAAGGGATCCGCAGTTGTTGCTGCTGCTGCTGCCGGGAGTGAAGTTTCAGACTCTGCGGTCTGTTGAGAGCCAGTGGGCACAACCTCCCCCTTCATCACAACAGTTAAAGTCAAAAGTAAAAAAAAAAAAAGAGAGAGAGAGAGAGAGAGAACAAGAAGAAAAAAAAGCAATCGATTTTAGTTCTCCTTGGGTTTGAACACTAAGCTCTGTGTGCAGTACCTAAGTGGCTGTCATAGTACATTCAACACATTTGGAAGTGCTAAGGGCGAAATACTGAAAACAGCAACCCCCCAACTGGGATCTGGATGTGCCCTCTTGTTTTCTGCCCTTGTCTTTCACCAAGTAGTACCTGGGCAGCTAAAAAGCAGATTCTAGTGAAAGTTGGTTATGGGAGAAGATACTGGCCTAAACTAAATTTTTGGTGTTATATGAAGCACTCTAAAGCCTCTTTTTAAAAACCCAAACTTGATATCATTGGATCAAATCTAACCTGCATTTGGTTAAGACCCTGTTTTCTATGTCAATGTCACTGGCATACTTGGAATTTCAAGATTCTGGGAATCATAGGCAATATTTTAGTCTGGTTTCCTGAGAAACAGAGTGCAGACTATACTTCTACATCAGAGTTTCCCTTCTGGGGTTCTGTGTCTACAGATAATTCCAGTGCACCCTGAAAGCTGGTGTAAAACCACAACTCCTCTTAAATGAGCACACAGGTTGGTTTCTGTCTGCTAGTGTCCTAGAGTCAGCATAAGAGCCTGAGAATGGACAATGGCATCTTGGTAACAGAGGTCAGCATATCAGGGGGATCTGGCTTGGGTTAAAGTCCTAAGATAAATTTTAAGTAATTATGTCAAAAAAAAAACACAAGCTCATCAAATGGCTGATATACAGATAATCAGGATTCATCTCCTTTCCAATGAAGTAAAGTTCTGACTATATTTCATGGTAAGCAACAGGGACAAACAGGGACATAAAGTAGTGTGGTTTTCCCTTTATTTTCTCTCTTATCTACAGACGTCCAAAGTTCTGAAAATATGGCTGCTTTTATTTCTTATATTATTTCTCACATTATTCCCTTTATTTGCATTCACAAAAGAACAAAAAGCAAACCCAAACACCATGATGTTGGTTCACTGTAAATTAACATGTAAGACACACACACCTCCTAGACCAAGACTGCTTCAGATCTGAGAGTGTTATTGGTGAGAAAATAGTAATAAATTAAGTCGTGTCTACCAATTATTACAACAATGAACCAGTTGAATCACCCAGAATACGTCTCCCTGTCCTCTGACTGTTCTGAAATGGTTCATCTATCACATGCAAATGCCTGGTATTTTGTGATCTTTTTTGTAAGACAGAAAAAAGGCAGTTTCAGGCTGTTTAGGAAAGATGGAGCCTGTGTGTCCTCCAGGAAGCAAAGCCTGAGTGATTACCTGCATCACTGGAGCATCTGCAGTGGGCAGCAGGGTTGGAGAGAGTTCTGGAGAAGAAGCTGGAAGTTTCTCTGGGGCCACCTCGAGCTCCGAGGCCAACTGAAGGGACTCCAAGCCTTTTTCTGGACTTTCATCTTCTCTGGATGACTCTATTTGGACACTTTCTATCTGTTCCACTTCTATTACTTCTTCCCCTCCTTCTTCTCCTTCTTCTCTTTCCTCTTCTTCCTCTTCTTCACCATCATCATCTTCTGGTAAGATATTTTAAAAATTGTTACAAGCTACCAATGCAAACAGTCAGTAGTCAGTACTTTCAGTTCAGTTTATGCTCAGACTAGGGAAGTTCTTTCCAACAGACTCTTGACGATGGTCCAAGTGTGGATACATTTCTGATTCAGTGTGGGCATGACAAATGTGCAGGAAGGATACTTATCCTTCCTCCTCCCCTCCCCAGCACAAAGTCCTCACCTCCACTATGCTTCTTTCCCTCACCCCTCAGAGTCTATTCACATTTTTGTCATAGTTTGCCACACCGAAAAGCTCCTGGAGGGTTAGGATTGCCACTCATCTTTCTCGTGTCACATGGAAAAGCGAATCTCTTCCCTAGCACAGAAAATATTTTAAAAAGTCTTATTTTCGTTTCTTATCTCCTTTGTTCACAGCATACACTCAATTTTGCCCCAGTTGATATCATAATTCTTTCCCCAAACCATTGGTCTTAATATTCCCTCAGGAAACACTAAGAATATATAATATTAACTATTTTTTAAAATCTTGATCACACATATTTGCTTTGAAAAAGATGTTTGGATGTTAGTGCAGGTGCACTGAGTGGTTTAGCCAAAGAGTATCATCATCTAAATGTGCTAGCATGAGTCAAGGTAATCAAAGCTTGGATCAACTCCAAGGCTATTTTCCTCTTTTCAATTATCTCTTAAGCATGAATTTCTAGGAGTGGAAGTTCTGGGCCAAAAGGTAGAGATACATCTAGGGATGTAGTTACAGCTCTTGGAGAGATCCAGCTTTATTTCCAGATTTTGACTTATTTTATGACTTGCTTCTCTTCTTTTTCTCTAAAATTTGATTAAGCTGATATGCTACCTTATATATTCCAGATGTCTTATACATTTTGTTCTTATGTCATCCTTAACCTTGCTATTAATAATAACTTTACGTCATTACGGCTAACACTTTGTGCAGGGTTGGAGCTGAGTTGTCATCATCACCACCATTATTAGCAGTTGACTATCCAGTGTCAAAGGTCTGAAATGTCATTAAAATAAGCACATTGTATCCAAAGTTATGTAAACACTGTCAATAAACTATACGATTCTGTAACAAAGAAGAAGTTATTATGCCTTTAAGGTTGTGACATTCATTCTGAAGGTGATTCTGAAATCTCCTTTTGCTCTTACTCAGTTCTTTACAACTTTCATATAACTGTAATTCTGTTCAAATTGTCAGAAGAATGACAAACCTCTGTAAAAATCAATTTCACGTATTACTTTTTCTTCTCTATTGAGGTTGACTGTGAAGTGGTTCATGTTCTCATAGCCATGATCTATTTCCTCCATCTGAAATGCCTTTGATGCTTCAGATATTCTGAAATGAAGACAAATTGCCAATTTCTGTCACGTTTAAAACAGACTTAGGTTTTTAAAATTATATATATTTTTCCCTAAAATAAAAATTACTTACTTTTGCAACAGAGTTTTGGCATTCTGAGAAAGCAAACAAAAGACATGTTTACTTACTTCTTTGTATTTACAACACTGGTGAAACTTAATTTTGTCCTATTCAGACTCTGAGAATTCTCTAACTTAATTTCCAAATGTCATAAACAACACTTTTTAGCTCAGAACCTTCTTATATTCAAGATGTAACATTTACTGAATTGTTAAATAGATGAAGAGACAAACATGTAGAGGGTTTACAGCTTTTGCTATTAAAATAGATCAAATATCCATGCAAGAATGAGAATGTAGTAATAACTAATTTTGCAGCACCCACCTTTTGGATCTGTTCATCAGTAGAAGAGAAAAGACTTACCTGCAAAAACACTGCCATTTCTGGCTCATCCATGAACTGGATGCCTGATTCAACCAACTTTGAGACATTCTCCAAGTGATCAGAATACTTTTTGATTAGTGTACGAACATGCTCCAGTTTCTCCTCCTGAGTCCGGGTAATGACCTGTGCCATTTCATTCTTCCTCTCCTCCAGGATGCCATACAAGTAATCAAACTTTTCACAAAGCTCCTGCTTCTGTTTTTTGCAGCATTCCTGTTGAGGGAGGGAGGGAGAGGGAGAGGAAGGAGGAAAAGGAGAGGAAGAGGACAAAGGAAAGGAAGAGGGCAAAGAAGAGGAAGAGAGAGAATTTCTTCCTTTTGTTGGTTCATTTCCAAAATGGCTGGGTCAAGAGGAAGCCAGGAGCCTGGAGCTTCATCCAGGTCTGTCACATAGGTATAGGGACCCAAGGACTTGGACCATCCTTCATTGTTTTCCCATGAGGATTAGCAGGGAGCTAGATTGAAAGTGGAACAGCAGGGACTCAACCTGGCACCCAAATGGGGATATCAGCATTGCAGGTGTAGCTTAACTTGCTATGCCACAATGCTGGCTTTATCAACTTTCTTGTTTTTACAGAGAATTTCCTAGAAATTACAGCAATATTTATTCCACTTTGTAGTTGGAATATATAGGTTGTGGGTTATATTTTTCCTTGGAATGGGGTGTATATGTATGCGTGGGTTGTGTGTGTGACACCTCTTAATTTGTATCCTTCAGTTTCTATTTGCTCCATCTATACCCCTAGTGTCCTAACAAATTGTGCAGCTTCCCAAGGGCTTCTGCATTTGCACTTCTCCTGTAATCAACTCACATGCCACAGTCAAACTAATTGTTGTGAGCATACAGTTCTAATCATGTCTTTTGTGCTTTGACTAGCTGTTAACACAAAGAACATTTTAAAAACGTAACTTGTTTTCAATACTCTATTACAACCTGATTCCAACCTTCCTTCCTAACACTCTACCATCATCCATTCCAAAATCTGTATTCATATTAAAAAAAAGTGCTCACTGTTGTGGTTCATGTTTTTGCTTTGGTCTATAATGTTCTCCCCAAATCGCAGTTGCAAACTCTAAGCAATCTCAAAGACCTTCTTTGGCACACTTTTTCTTTTTATAATTCTTCCCTTTATTTCTATGCTTGAATTCTATCTTCTGAAATCCCCTATCAGTTGTTGATGATGGCATAAGCCTTTATCTACCAGGTCCTTTGTCCAATACTGTCTAATTAGGAGAATATAGTATTTGGTCTTTGTCTCTGGAGACAAAGACTATGTTGGAAGTCTGAGCCCCTTTACTACTGAAGTGATAATTTTCCAATTGATATAGTCACTGATATTTTGGGGTTTCATAGTCTAGTAAATGTGTGTGTGTGTGTGTCTGTGTGTGTGTGTGTGTGTGTGTGTGTGTGTATTTGGCAATTTCCTTGTTCCTGATCATCTCCGGGTTCAGGAGCTTTACAGATAAAGAGAAATCTGAGAACCACAATAACCTAAACTGGCTCTTCTGCCCAGTGAGGGGCTTCCTGGGACTCTAGTTAATTTATCTGACATTTCTAACCTCCATAAAACTCTTAGTTTTGTTTTGATAAACATTAACCTCTTTGGTGTTGTGTATGACTTTCTTTCTTTATAAGACTTTCTAAGCATTAAACTTCTTGGGGATAGAATCTGGTCTGCCTAGGATACACATACCATCTTGGATACAAGATGTTCAATAAATACTTAGTGACTGCATTCTTTTGAAATGATGATTCATTTCTCTCATATTCCTCTACTATTCTCAGAGTGAGGAGGAAGGGGGAAAACATCTAAATCATTGATTGTGAAGATATTTCACACACAAATGTGCAAGAGACAAAAGCCTCACTCCATTGCCTTCCTTGGAACACAATTATTTATCATCACAATTTCTAACCAAATTGTAATGCATAAAGAATATTCAATGGTTCAAACCAATTTGGCAGAAACTACCAGATACTGTCGTCATCCACACATTCACTTAATAAATAATTCATCATCATTTTTGTTATGTACTATGCAGAACTCTGAGAAACTGGGACTCAAAAGCTAGTTCAACATAGTTCATGTTTGTCAGGTGCTCATAGCTCATTAAATGAAAAAGACTATGGGTCGGTGATATGATAAAGTAGTTTGACTAATGGAAATTATATCAGGGTTTACAGAAGCCAAAAGATGAGACCTTAATCAAACTCTTCATGTGGATAGGGAACATTTCCAAGGGAACAACAGGTGTTAGCTCAGGGAAAGCTTCTTAGAGGAGGTGGTAATTAAGTTTGGTTTCAAGAGATGTAGATGTTGTGGAAAGGGATGAAATATTTGGAGTCTCAGATGTCATCAAAAGTAGGACAATGGCCATGCATCATTCATCCAGATCAAGTAGGATTCATCCCTGGAAAGCAAGGATGGTTCAACATTCGGAAATCCATAAATGTGATACACCACATCCAAAAACTGAAAAACAAGAACCACATGATAGTATCAATAGACGGAGAAAAAGCTTTTGACAAGATCCAACACCTCTTCATGCTAAAAACTCTAACCAAGGTAGGCATAGATGGAAAAATCCACAACATAATCAAAGCAATCTATGAAAAACCCAACGCCAGTATCATACTGAATGGAGAAAAGCTAGAACCCTTTCCGCTGAGATCTGGAACAAGACAAGGATGCCCACTATCTCCACTGCTATTCAACATAGTCCTAGAGGTACTTGCAGAGGCCATAAGAAAAGAAAAAGAAATCAAAGGCATACGAATGGGAAATGAAGAGATCAAGCTTTCACTATACGCAGATGACATGATCCTGTACATAGAAGAATCAGGAGACTCAATATAGAAACTGCTAGAACTTATACAAGAGTTTGGCAGAGTGGCAGGGTACAAAATTAATGAACAAAAATCCACAGCCATAGTGTATGCAAACAGCCCCGAGATGGAAAAAGACCTAACCAGCAGGATACCATTCAAAATAGTAGAGAAAAGAATGAAGTATCTGGGAATAAATCTAACCAAAAGTGTAGGAGACCTATTTGAAGAAAACTACAAAGTACTCAAAAAAGAAATTGAACAAGACCTCAAAAGATGGAATAACATCCCATGCTCCTGGACAGGTAAAATCAATATCATTAAAATGTCTATACTACCAAAAGCAATATATATTTTCAATGCAATGCCAATCAAATTGCCCAAAACATTCTTCACGGAACTGGACACAATGATTCAAAAGTTCATCCGGAAACACAAAAAACCACGAATAGCTAGAACCATCCTAAAGAACAAGAAGTTAGCAGGGGGAATTACAGTTCCGGACCTCTGGACATACTATAGAGCAGTGGTTATTAAAACAGCCTGGTACTGGCACAAAGATAGAGAGGAAGATCGATGGAACAGAATAGGAACACCAAAAGGGAACCCACAAAAATACAGCCAAACAATCTTTGACAAAAAGACCAACAACAGTCCAAGCAAATGGGAAGGCCTCTTCAGTAAATGTTGTAGGGACAACTGGCTGATAGCCTGCAGAAACAAAAGGATAGACCCACATCTATCATAAAAGACCTAAACCTACATCCAGAAACCTTCAAACTCTTGCAAGAAAATGTAGGAAATACCTGCAAGACCTAGGAGTAGGTCCTGACTTTCTAAGAAGGACTCCAAAAGCAATAGCAGTTAAGAACAGAATAAGCAAATGGGACCTCATCAAACTAAGAAGCTTCTGTACAGCAAGGGAAACAATCAACAAAGTAAAAAAAGCAACCCACAGAATGGGAGAAGATCTTTGCGCACTATGTAAGAGATAGAGGGCTAATCTCCAGAGTATACAAAGAACTCCAAAACAACCAAAAAACCAAAACAAACAAGCCACTCAAGAAATGGGCACGGGAAATGGGCAAACATTTCACAAAGGAACAAGCCCAAATGGCAAACAAACATGAAAAAATGCTCCAGTTCCCTGGTAATAAGGGAAATCCAAATTAAGACATTGATGAGGTACCACCTAACACCAGTAAGATTGGCCCACATAAAAAAGAAAACCAACGACACTTGTTGGCGAGGATGTGGGGAAAAGGGAACCCTACTCCACTGCTGGTGGAGCTGCAGGTTGGTACAGCCTTTATGGAAATCAGTCTGGAGAACACTTAACTCAAAATCTGCATACCATATGACCCAGCAATAGCATTCCTAGGAATATATCCAAAACACCTGTTTCACGACAAACCAACATGCACCCCTATGTTCATAGCAGCACAATCAGTAATTGCAAAAACATGGAAGCAACCGAAATGCCCATCAGCAGAAGATTGGATAAGAAAGCTTTGGTTCATCTACTCCATGGAATACTACTTAGCTATTAAGAAAAACAAAATGCAGTTCTTTGTGGCTAAATGGGCCCAACTGGAAACTATAATGCTAAGAGAAATGAGTGAATCCCAGAAGGTTAGATACCACATGTTTGCCTTGATTTAACCTGTAATTTTTGTTTGTTTGTTTGTTTTTGAACCTGTCATTGATACTGTCTGAACCCATGTGTTTTGAAGAATGGAACTTGCATTATTTTTAACATATTGTTTACTCAATACTGTGTCAATTAATTCCATAACATTGTATATTGTTGCTGATGTTTTGTTGGGGCTTTTAACTGACCGGGACTTTACTCTGTTAGCTCTACCTTCAGACCAGAGAAGGTCTCCCCAAGAAGCCGCTGAACTTATCTGGACAATAAGATGCTGGACTCTATGCTAGGTATATGCTTGTAATGAAGGAATCTCAACTGAACTCGAACTGTGGTTAGGCAGCAAGGGGGAGGAATCCACCATGAGGGGAGGGTTGTAGGAGGGGTGGAGGAATCCCAGTGCCTATAAAACTGTATCACATAATACAGTGTTAATAACAATAAAAAAAAAAACAGACCTAGGAACTGAAGCCTGTCAGTAGCTTTCCAATCAAACTTTATTTCATCGCAATTCTTCTGTGTTAAGCTTAAAGTACTATATACCCACTGCAAACCTGAACTGTGTCTACCATTTAGAAGCCTTATGGATTAATATGAAAACATGATTGCTTCCAGCTTGTTTTAAGTGAAGCATATTTGCAACATTTATGACTGTCAAGATGTGATGCTGGTAAAATATCTTCATGTCATTAAAATTTTCCCTTCATATGATTTAATGTGTGAGAATATGCAAGTTTTT